CAGTCTTTTTATTACACCCCCCAAAAAAAAACCTGAAAAAATGCGAGGAGGGTGCCTTTATTAATAGTACGGTTCTGACATTAAAATATTTCCCAAGTGAGCATCAATCCCACTTCTACAACAATGCACAATGTAGTCTCTGCCTGCACCCGTAGCAAATGGGGAAGTTCATGGATGAAATTTGGATATCGCCCGGCTGATCCTAAGCAATAGCTAGACTCGCTAGACTCGCTAGACCCCGTGCCATACGTTGCCCCAAAGCGACCCAAATTTCAATGGTCCTGCCTCGATGTTGTCATACTTCGAGAAGTTGATGCCAGCCACCACGTGGTTGGCGCCGAACAAGCGCTTTTCCTCATCTGCGCGCGGTTTTTGCAGTGTACGGGTAACAACAAATACAGTATGATGACTGGCCGCGATGATGGTGATGATGACTCTGGTAGATTATAGTGATAGTGCTAGCTGTAAACAACGGCCTCGGCTAAGCGTTTCCATCCTGTCTTCCCAGTATGGGGCCATGTGGGGGCAAAAATCACCCGCCCAACCTGGCCACTTGGGAAGATCAACAACATCTGAGACTTACCAACCTAGCTGGAGGACCTAGCTGAAGACTTTGTTGCAACGCCATGGTGACCATGGTGCCCTGAACAGTTCTTGATGGATCAAAAAGGTCTTGTCACAAAAAACGAAACCGCCCGACAAAAAGGCTGAACACAAACCGCCCGACCATACCCACTCTGTGACCCTGAGTGGCTCAAAAAGCGAAACACATGTCCTTCTCTTCGCCAAGGCACCTCTCGCGCCCAAGTCCTTGCAACATGGGGATTTGACATGTTAGTCATGTTAGCTTTAATTTTAGTGAGTATAAGAACCGAAAAGAAAAAATGTGGATATATAGAAAAACAACATCATGGGAGAGGTTGGTGTGAACAATGTGGAATATGTTTAGGACATGTTTAAGTGATTGTCTTCTCCCTCAACCACGTCTTTACCCCAAAAGGACTCATTGCTCAAAGTCCTACTTCTGGACCCCGTGCCAAGACTGAGCCAACACTGAGCCAAGACCGAGTCTTTAGAAGGTATTGTTGGGTGTGGTCTCCAGTGCCCATGTGTGGGGTGATTCTATAGCTGCGATTCCACCTCCGCGTACGAGATGGTGGGGTAGTGCCCGCTCATGCAAAATGTTTGGTTAATTCTGCGTCTCTAGTGACCAGCTGTCTTTCAATGTCTGTTCCTTCCACAAGAGAGAGAGATCTTGCAATAGGCCCGCAACAATGGCAACCGACGGCATATGAGCGCTCACAGAGCGGAAGGGAACACGTTCAAAGGTTAAAAGGCTTGCTTCACAAGGACCACAATGAAAACATAAACAAACACTAACATCGTGGATTTTGCTTGCTCCCTAAAGGAAACCCAAATGGAGCTGCAATGCGCAAATTCGCACATCTCATGTAGAAACACGGTCAATTTCTATGCTTAAATTGAAGAGTCAAGTAGGTTCTTTGGCTCCAAAACTCCTGTCTGTCCTGGCAGCCCCTTTGGCCACACATTTATGGCACACTTACCGAATAAGTACACAGGCCAGGGTTCATGCACGGAAGCATTTGTTCACGGGACACATTTGGGAGAAACCATGCGTCGAAAAGATCCGGGTACACAACATATCGAACAAAACCCCACAACAGGAATCCAACGACTTTCTGCTCTAATTTGATGCCGCCTGCATTGCTTGGAACCGGTTCAGGCCATCACACATAGCTACCGATCCTACAAAATTATCCTGCTGCCTCAAGGCCACTGACCAAACGCCGAACAAATCCATGCCAGGTTGCAAATACGTACTGTATATCCAGCATCACCCGGTCTTGGGGTGGAATATACATTGAATACCAATTAACTTGCATTTTTAGGACTGGGTGATGGTTGGATGCATCCTTAGATCCTTTAGCATCCTGACCTCTTCCAACCTCTTCCTCCTCTTTGCAAGCTCAGCAGCACTTCATCGGTGGGAGGAACACCAGTGCTAATGAGCCGTTTCTGATGCGCAAAGAATTGCGCAGCTTCCCTCCGGCGCTTCCTGAGTGGTCTCCCGGTGATGACTGAGCGCTTCGGACTGCGTGCAGTTGGTGTTTTTTGACATGGCCTAATTATATGCAATCCTGAAGAGGAGACATGCGGATTGAAACCTACCTGTTTCTTTGCCCACCCTTCTATATACATGTCTTTGAGTCTTACGATGCTGTCCAACCAGCGGCTCGAGTTGCCACATGGAGGCCGAGATGACCCGAATCACGGTGGGACAGCAAATTACTACACTTTAGCCGCTTTGCATTTCTTTGCGGGAGTGTTTCTGCCGATTGGTGCGTCCACCGCAGCATGATGCTTTCCAGCTGTTCTGGCCTAACTACCTTCTTTGAACACCTCTCTAGCATATCCAGCATGGACATTTCGATGTTTGTCTCAGTTCCTAGTAGTACCCTTCGATACCAGGCCCTGGTCGATTGCAACCTCCCAAGTTGGGTGGTGGAAGGGTTGTGCCCGTTTTGTCTCACTGGCCCGATCGTTCGCTCCTTTGCTTAACATCATCAGTCCGATCGTTCGCTGGCCAGGTGTCTGTTCTGTACGTTCCGCTTGCTCTTCCGCAGACATATAGTTGCCCCGATATCCACCTCTGTAGTCTCCAACGCCTGTGTAGGCACGCCGCGCGGAGACTCCGCGCGCCAGCGCGCGGAGCGACAGCGCGCTCAACGCAAAGAAGCCCCAGTGTGCACCACTTCCATGTCTCGCCTCGTGGGAGTTGACGAGTCACGCGCGGAATAAAACATGTCTGACTTCTTGACCTGATATATATATATATTGTTTTTAATGATATATATATATATGAGGTGCGGACAACATTATTTATTCATGCAATATGCCATATGCCAAAATGGGTTGTCCCCTATCGGTTGTGAAGAATTAGGCATTTGAAATGTGATGTCATGATGGTGTCATTTGTGAAGCATCGGTTGTGAAGGGCTTGCCGGGCTTGCACGGGCTTGCCATGTTGCGTTTTGATTGCTGCGCGGTTGTGTTTCCAGTTCGGGGCTTGAAACTGCGAGTACCTTGTGAAAGGCTTGTGGAAGCAAACAGCAGAGTAGCATCTCCTTTTTCGACTTGGTGTTATCTGACATTGAACTCGAGGAGCTGGATTCTGAGCTGGTGCTCTGACCGTGACCTGCTTTCACAATGCTTTGCTTTTCCTTGGCCAAAAGTTGTTGCTTGTGTTTACTCCTCAGTCTCCTCAGTTGTAGTCTGCTGATATTCTTGTTAATTTCCTCTTGGTTGTCTGCATCATCTGGTGATTTTTACATGTTTGCAGAATCTTCTAATGCCTCCTTGTACTTCTTTGCTCGCCTTACTGTAAACACCCGTAGGGAAACATTGCAATCAGGTGAAACTACTCTACCATGTGGATTCTAAGAAATGAAAACTGCAGCTACAAACATGAGAGATCTGCATAGACACCCGCAATGGTCCTGAATATAATATAGTGTCACCCTTCAAGTGGGACAAGGGGCACCAAAGCATGTAAATCTGAAAAACATGGTATCGGTTAGTATCGGTTGAGCTGTCCATGAGAGCTCCCTTACCACGGTGCAACCACCCAACTGTTGTTAATTAATGAAACCTCATCGGCGAACTCACTTGACAATGGTGTGATAGCTCTTGCAACGTAACCCATCAAGGTTCAGAATTATTCATTTTGAAAAGCACCTTGGATTCCAATTCACAGCCATCGAAAACAAAACAAAAAACAATGGACAATAACAACCCAAACAATCTTGGTGGGTAGTATAGGGGTATCGGTGCTGGGTCGTCCCCTATCGGTTGCCAAGGATTTCTTCACTTCTCTACAAGTGTTAAGCACAAGGCGGCCTCTTAATAATTTTGTCGGTTGCTCATATGATATTATATGATTATCTATTGTTTATTTCACTCTAATTGCATGCAATTGCTAATCACAGTCTAATTACTTCAAACCCATGTGTTGGATAGACATCATCCTGGAATCTTGGACCATGTGCCAATCTGGTCAATTGATGTCAATTGCCCACTTCTGAATATCTTGGCTCACCCGAATTTCTCCACGGCTCGAGTCGGCTCGAGGGTTTGAACGCTGACCGGGCCTCAGAGGCGGACTGTGCACTGAAGCGACAGGGCGGTGTCCCGACACCGGTCGCAGCGCTGGTTCCAGCGCCGGGTGGCAGGGCAAAGGCCAAAAGCGTCATGGCCCAAACTGAACGGAACTCTCAGAAGCCCTGAAAACTGCAGTGAACATGACCGAAGACCGCCGACCCGCGGATATAAGCCTAAGCGATCCAAGTCGACCTCCTCGAACACACCTGAACACACATCCACAGATCATCAAGTACTGCTTGAATAGTTGGAAAAGGCTGGAATGTTGGACGTTCAAAATCATCGAGTTGAGGATCACATCACGCAGTTTCTTGTCTGTTGGAGAGAGACGGAGAGAGATGCAAAAGGATGAGCTGGGGCGCCAAATTCAAGAATGGCATGGCAGGTTGTCCAAAATGGACAAGTACCCGTCAAACTGTCTCTCTATGTGGAAGCCGGCAAGCAAAACAGTGTGCATTCAGTGTTGTAAGCATATAAGATATAGTTACCGTTGCCACCGCTTGGCAAGGAAAAAACAGTCTTCCCCACCTCCTCCAGGAGTTGAACAATTCGCAACTAAAACCGGTTGACACCAAAATATATTCAAAGTGATCCACTTGCCATACTGGAGGCTAGACAAACAGAGTCACATCGCCACCCATCGTATCACTCCATGCACTGTGTGCCGTTTTTCCAATGCAGGTGAGAGCATCTCAGTCCAGTCAGACCCTCGGATTTGCTCGTGTCAGCCGCAATTCCCTTCGGTCAGAGGTTTCAGAGGTTTCTCTACTAGCGTCCTTGCGTTTGTCGCGATGCCCGGGTTCCGAGTCGCGCTGCTCGTTCCGATGTCCGACGCCCTGCGGCTTCACCCGAGCCAATCCGAGCAGGGCCGTGCTGTGCGGCGGAAGGGATCTACGAGTCTAACGAGGCACCACCGGCGGTGGCATCGCGGCACCCGGGGGTGGCAACACCAAGGGCGGCCCGGGCGGCGTGGGAGGCCATGGCCCGGGCGTTGGTGGCGCAGATGGGACTGGAGCATCTGGATCTGGTAGCTTGGCAGGTTTCGTGTGATCCTTGGTGGGTTGAAGGAGAGAAGTCGGGATTTTGCTCGAAGCAGCGAAAAAATGTTTTCCGTTCAGAACGCAGAGACAAGAAGAAACTTTAAGCAAAAAAGACACGACACGTGTCCCAATCACAAACCTCAAAGCAGTCAAGTCATGTTTCATAATTTCAACAGCCATCTCCAGCTTATGCCTCAACACCCTCAAGCGCCCTTTTAAAATGACATAAAGTGACTCGAATTCACCAGAGTGAGGAAACAACTCGCAATAACTCGCAGAAACACCCCCCTCAGACCCTGAACCACAGGGTCAGTTCCTCGCCTTCAGTATTCCAAGTGGCCCCGACAAGACCTGGCAAATCTGGGTAGCGTGGAAGAAGCACCTTGACCTGAGCTGAGAAAAGAAGCACCGCGTGCCAGGCAGTGCGGCTCCAAATCCCCCAAACAGCTGCACACAGCTGTGTAGCTCAAGTTGCTGCTAATCACCTGATCCACCCCTCTCTCCATGTTGTGTATCCAGGCGCCCGTCCCCAGGTGAGTCCCTGGCGGGCTTGTCTCCATGTCCCTCAGCTGCAGCTTTGGCAGCCTCCGCCGCCTGCAATCCCAGCCCCTCCGAGATGGCGGAGGACACCAACAGTCCACCTGTGCCGCTTGGTGCTCCGCTGGTGCTCGGCGCTCCGGATGGAGCTGTTGGCAAGGACCGACTCGCTACGTCGGTGCAGATCCGGAATGCGGCCCGAAGGAAGGGGAACGGACCTCGGAGGAATATTCTATTATCTGTAGATAAGCTACTAAGCTACTAAGCCTAGGCTCAGCATGCTCCAAAACCCTGCTGGCGAGAAAACTCGAATCAGGTCTCTGATCGGATCCAACGCGAAGAATCCACTATATAAATAGAAGGAGCCCCAAATTGTGTGCTTCACAGATTTCCGGATTCCCAATTCTAATTTCTTCCCGCACAAATCTTCACGACATGGTGTTCCCGATCACATGCTCACCAACACGTCCAACTGGCCCGTCGCACCATAGCAGCCACATGGTGGTAAGGCTGGAATGGCAGGACCGCCTGGAGAGTGCCCAACACCAAGGCAAAGTCAGCAGCGTTGAGCTGACAATCAATGATGATCTGGAAACAATATACACAACACACACTGCAAAAAAGTATATCTGGTCAGTTGATTTGATGCCATTAATGTAGTCAGATTCTCTCTGGCACAGGGGCAACGGCAGCATATGGACTGGGCAGCATATGGACTGGGTTGCAGTGTGCCGTTACCTATGGAAAGTCAAAGAGGCTGAAGCGTCCTCAAATCCTGAACTAGAGTAGGTTCAAGCTTGACTGACCTCCGTTCTCCGTTTTCTCATGCCAGCTTCAGGTGCCCGAGCATGTTTGCCACTTTCCAGTGCCCGAAACAAAGTCATGTTGATAGAATCGCACCTTCTTCATGTCTCCTGACCTTCGTCTCTGCCTACGTCTGCTCCCACGGAAACCCAAATGGGCAGTCCCCGAAGACTGAGCCTGCATTTTGGTACACTCCTTTATGTGTCTGTGTCAAGTATCCTTGCTGGGTCTTTCAGTGGGCTGCCCGCAACGACCAAAACCGGCCATGGGGCCATGACCTAAAAGCGAGTCCGAAGCTTCCCGGCAATCAGTCCTTTGACGCCCTTGGGTTATCTTCACGGAAGAGAAAAAAACAAAACAACCCAAGGCGTCAAGCGACACTGCGAGCGACTGCGAGCGACTGCGAGCGACTGGCAGCGGTAGCAATGGTTGGCAATGGTTGGCGGCCGCCCGCTACGTGTGAGCCCATTATATAATAGAGTCCAAATGGATAGCGGAGCAATGCTCAGTCCATGTTTGCTCTCTTCAAGCACCTAGAAACCGAGAAAACGGAGACAACCATACCCACAGTATCAAACAATATCACACATATCTGCCGGCTTTGGAAACAAACATCTGTGTTGTTGACTTGATGTGTCCGCCACAGGCATTCTGCTCATGTCCGAATAGCCAAGCGGCTGAGGAGCATGGCCAATAACTTGAGGGCCGTGCCGGTGAGGATGTCCTATGGGGCAGGGTGACGGGCGGGGAACGCATCCATACCATGCCACACAAGGCAGGAGAACTGGTCAGCATCCTTCTGTCCCATCCATCTTCATCCACCGAGAGGGGCATGCAAACCCTCCATCCACGTTGTGGAAGTGGAACCGATCAAAGCATCTTCTTGTGACTGGATAATTAAAGGTTAGATATGCTTAAATAACCAAATACTGTAAAGAATCCAACTCCAGCACCCCATAGCACCCCTCTGTGCCATCTTTCCAAAAAAAGAACCGTCAGGCACGGGCTCGCCTCCTCTTCAGCGAAGCCGCGGCGCTGCGAAGCGTCTCCGGTGTGGGGTGTTGGGGGGCCACTCGAGAGCAGCGGAGGTCTCCTTGGAGACGTCGGCGATGCCCAAAGTTTAAGGGAACATATCGATATGTTCAATTGTCGTATATACTTATATCGCATCATATAGCATCGTGAAGTTGCACAAATATAGTGACACCACTAGTGACACCATTTTATAGATAAAACAAAAGCCGCTCAGTGTCAATCTACTTGGGGACGACTGGATGTTTGCGCCAAGGTTTTGTTTCCTTACACACAAGCAGCATCATGCAGCAAATACTAATCGTGATGGCAAGCAGGTAAAGTAAGTGGTTCTCCAACATTGCAACTGGTGGTGGCAAGCCAAAAGTGAAAGTCCATCTCTTCATATCGCTTCGATCTTTGTTTGTTTGGGGTTCAACATGGCTACGCGCTTGTGGGAAAGCCTTGTGGCGGTAGCAAAATGAGTCCATATAGGTCTTGGGGCATCTCCAGTCTAGAGGTGCCCTCATACAGCAATGCCAAGAGCAAATCATGCCCGATATCAATACTACAAACTATATCGGTCTCCGTTCTTTTCGTTCTGGGGGGCGACATTAAGGAGAGAGCAAACTGAAAACAGCACTGATTTGGCAACCCCAACTGGAGATTTAGGAGGCAAACCAAAGGCCACAAAATACCACCCACACGACCGCCTTGCAGTGGTTTTCGGGACCACCTTCTTCCCAACGCTCACAAGAAACAACTCAGGTATTGTATCTGACAAAACTAGTGCCCTGAAGTTGTGCAGCCCTGCGCCAACTTCTGAATCACACACCAGGACTCTGCATGTATCCGGGGCTGGGTGGCATCGTCCTTGGACGATGTCGACCGCAAGTTCGTGGGTCGGGACACGCGCCGAAACAAACCGGTAATTGGAGAGAACCTGCAAACAGGGTGTTCCTGTCTTTATGGATTTCTATGGTTTCTTGGTGTCTGCATCAAGCCGCTGTACAAACCAATGGTGACACATGGTGACACTAGAATCATCTGACTAGCTATCGCATCAAGAAGAATGAGGCAGTCTTTCCAACAACCTTCGTTGCTCGGTGTGAGTTTTCCTGAAAAACTCTATCTTTGTGTGTCAAAGCATCTGGGCCCTTCAACGATGCTTTTTTTTGAGTTCGAGAACAAGGATACTTTGATGCAGGCGCCAAACAACAGCCATCACGTACAAACCAAGACGTATGTGACCTGCTTGCAGGAATTATAGCAGCTTCTTGCCGCGACACGCGCCTCCCCCGGTGGAGACACCAAGTGAACTTGCTGCAAATCGCAGTCCAAACAAGGGAACTTGCATCTGAAGATCAAATACTTGGTTTGAATATGGATTAGAAACAAGGCAAGCAAACATGTCCAAACAAGGGAATCAATCTGTCAAGAAGGTCGCCCGCCCTTCACGCCCATGCCTGCAAGACTCAACGTGAACCCCCAAAGCAGAAAGCTGGAGGCCACAATAAATAGTTTCAGCTTATATGGTGTCTATGCAATATGCATATCTGGGTGTATATAGCCATCCTAGAGTGAATAGAGAAGTCAAAAAGAAGCCCTTCAACAAAAGGAACATGAAACAACATGTCCAACACATCTGTACCATCTGCTTGAAGACCACGTCTCCATCATCTTCACGTTTTAGTTATATAAATCACTGTCTCATCATCTCATCCAAATGATTACAGTAAAACTTCAAAGGGTGGGTTAAACTTATTGACCTTTGGCCAACTCCAGTGGCCAAGGGAATTGATGGGAATGGACTTCCCAAGTGGTACCAAGCTTCTCTTTTAGAGCCTCCAGGCGGCTAATTTCTAGGATGAATCTTCCATCTCCAAACTGACTGAGCCCAACGTCCGCACCCCCACGACCTCCGCGTGTGTTTCGCGGTTCGTCTGGCCCGAGCCACTTCGGCGGACCGGGCCAGGTCTCGTAGAACCTTGGGAGCGAAGGAAGCTCGAGTGAACATTAGGCCAAGCGAGAAGTTCCAAAAGGCTCGGTTGGAGCGATTGGTCACAGATTTGGGGGTTGTTGTTTGTTCTTTTCCCGATGGTTTTGTGCAAAGGTCATCAGTGGAACCAAACGGCTCTTTCGACCGAGGTGCACAATGGAAAACGTTGGAAATGCATGGATTGTTCGTTGAAACCTTGAGGCACGCCAAAATACGAAAGCCAGTGAACTTGATAGGGGACATCTTTATGGGGAAAGCGGGTGGCGCAGTATGTCATGTGGTGGTTAGCTGTATCCATCAAATCTAAATGGAGCTATGCTGGGAACAACCGGTGGCCCATGAGTGGCACAAAGACCAGGCACCTGATCACCGATCCCTGGATGCTAGTTTAGCAGGGGTTGCCGCATGGTTCTGCAGCAGGTTGTGTTCCATTGCCCTGTTGAAATGTCAGACGCCACCTGTGTCACTCCATGCCCGACGCGTTCCGCGTTGCCCGCGGAAAGCCGAAGTGAAGAAACACCGACCTGAACCGCACCTGGGGCTCTGAAATGGGACCCTCGAAGTAGGAAGGGATCAACTAACATGTCAATTAATTAACAAACGTACATGAATTAATAAGAACTCAAACCATTCACACTCATCTGAGTTCAATACCTCTTCTTCGTTCCCCTCCTCACACTCGGTGGTTTTCCAGCTGAGGCGCGGTGAGACCGGCGCGTGCCCTGCCGTTGGCGTCCCCAAAGCTCGGTTTCCGCGGAGTGGGTCGACCCGGAGGTCGCGGAGCTCGCGCAGGTCGCGGTCCTGGCGGTCCTCGGTCAGCGCGACCTCCTCGAGGCCGACGGAGGTTTGGGGCGTGGCCCAACCGCCATCCTCAGAAATCGCGTTGATTCAATGACTGCGTAGCTTTTTGCGGGATGATTTTCTGCGAGATGGATCAAGATGGTGACCGCATGTGACCGCCATCCTCAGAAATCACGTTTGATGGACTGCGCGAAACTGTGCATTCCATGATGTTTTGCATTTGGCGAGGCCCGATGAAGGTGGAGCACAGACCCCAGAGTACCCAAACAGGTAGGAACGTGCATTGCTGTGGTATACCAGCCAGGTTGCGCACGAAACAATTATATAATATGGATCATTATGGATCGCTTTTTGAATCGAGCATCTGCATCCAACGAACAACTAAAGGACCCGCTTGCTGTGGTCGCAATGGATAGGCGGCGTGGCTTCAAAGGCCTCGCAATGAGCATGGTATCCTTAGTGGATGCAATGAGGCTTGGGGCTGGCATACGCCGCAAAAGCGGAGGAAAAGCTTGAGAGGATATAGTGCTATAGGCTATAGTGGTGTCAGGCAGAAGTTGACATGATCCCAGGAGATCCTATAAGCACATTCTATTTTGGGCAACTGCTGCCCAGGACTGCCGTTTTTTGTCTTGTTTTTTTTTTTTTTTTTTTTTTTCCGGGCAACGTTTTATGCAAACTATTAATGCTCTTCTCGTTTTAGGAAGTTGAAATCAACATGTTTGCATCTACGTACAGTAGATGAATCGGCCCAAGAGAAGAGTTCTGGATCAACCACGGGATCAAGTTGCTGACGTAGGGCATAGCTTTCAAATGCTTTCAACTTGAGTTTCCCTCAGCGTGCGCGAATCTGCTTGGCTTTCTTAGCGCAAATCAGCTCAGCTAAGCTTCAGGATTGTTGGGAGTTGTCGGAACGGTGGTCTCTTCATCGTCGTTCTTCATGGCAGCCGACGTCGGTTCTGCCGTCCTGGGCACGACTGGGCATGCTTTAAAGACTTTTAAAGCACAAGCTTGCAGGTCTTGCAGTTGTATAATCACAACTTTGTGTTGCGACAGGTTACCTTGGAATTCGAATCAAATACATGCAAATAACATATATTATATGATTATATTGAGTTTGCAAAGCGGTCGAGGCATCCACTGCTTTGAAAGGCTTGATGCCAGCATCAAAACAAGGGCTTGTCGAACGGTCATCACATTTGACCACCGGAAAGTACTCTCTATGTGTGCAAATGGCATACTGTAAGTCAATGAGGAGGCTCCAACAAATGCATGCAAGGAGCTTCTGACGTAGATTGAAACCCACGAGCAACCCAGGACAGAGTTGCTCTTGGACCACCGGCCGGACTACAAAGCCAACAGTTCTGGCTGCAAATGTGAGACACATACAACTTCGAAAACTGAGATGGACTTGCAATTCCTGCAAGCCTACAGAATCCTCTGGGCTTGTAGCACATGTTGGTCGGACAAAGGCTCTGTGCTGTTGATACCTTTAAGTTGTCCTTTGGACTCCCTTCGATGTGCTGTGCCATGCCCCGCACTTGCAGGTGAAGGTTTCGTCCTGGCTTAAAGGATTCGCGATTATTCTCTGAAAAAAAATGCAATTCTCCCTCACCGCCCAGCATGCCCATGAACTTCAAAGGGGCTTGCGCTGCTTGTACATTTGCTCTGGTGACTAGCCCAGGGTCGGGAGCCCAGCTTCAATGATGGCCTTCCTAGGTAGAATACTTGACACTCAAGGGGTGCAGCAAAAACGACCATGTTCAAGGTATCCTAAGATCTGCTTTTCGGATTCCTCTGGTCAGCACAACAACTTGACAGCTCTGGGCAATTCACCTAGCCGTCCAAAGACCGCGGCAATTGGAGCTGCAATAAAGGCAGTCTAGAGTTCCTATTTCGTCACTATATGCCTTTTTGAGGTCCCCCCAACCATCAAAACACAAAAGAAAACATGGAAGTCCCACCAAACAAACTCCTCAAAAGTGTCTTTGACTCTTTGATTTTTCTCCTCAAACTGGTGGAAACCCAAACCAGGCGATTCAGCAGGGTGACGGCCGGCAGCAGGTTCTATTTTTGGCTGTCAATGGTTCGCTGTTGCCGATGCACCTGGCATATTTTCACACACATTGAAGGGATAAGGAGGCCCAAACTCGTAGTTTTTCACAAAAACAAGTGGAGTGGAAGGCAACTGGAGTGGAAGGCAAGGGGGATATAGCTCGTCTCCGTTTCAAAAGAAAACGATGGTCGCAGTCGCACCTTCAAAAGAGAATCTGTCTGGTCCAACTTCTTACAAATCGGCAGCCCGGATCTGATCAGCGTGGGTGGCTTGGAAACTCGCGCCCTTGATGTGGTGGGCTCCAGAACATGATCATGTGAGGACACGAACCCCAAAAAAGCTGACCAGGCTGAAGTTTGGCGATACGCAGCGGTCTTTCTCCACTCAAAGGCTATATCCCCTTGCCAGCGCACCAGGCTGCTGAACACCTTGGTGGAACATTGGTCGGAATTACTGTATGTGTTTTTGGGAATATTACTAAGCATCAAGCATCCAGGAAATTCTTTGGGTTGGAACCAAAAAGCACAACACCATAAAAACTTCAACCAACAGCTCAACTAGGATGGAGGCCTTTGCTACTAGTAACAAGTGGAGGCCATTACTACTAAGTTGGCATCTACCCACCAAACCGTGTTCGTGCTCGTTCTCATGGGAGATGGTCGCCAGGGAAGGCTCTTAAAGTTGCGCCCTGCGACCATCCATGGATCTCAAAACCCACGCAGTGTCCATGTTGAGCTCTGCGAACTTGCACAGCGATTGTAAGGGGAAAAACAGCCAGCACAATGAAGGACAAGTTGACCAGTCAATCTACAGGATGTCATTTGGACAATCTTGCATACCAGGCTTACTAGAAAACTGGGTCAGCTGCAGCATCAAACGAAAGAAAACAAACACCGCACATCCAGATTCCCAGGAGATTCTTCTTAAGACTGACCTTTCAAAAAAAAACGAACATATGCATACGGCATGCACCCCTCCCAAACAAAAGAGGTATCTTCAAAGAGAGTTCTGCCATACAGTACCATCTCACACGATCAAAACATCTTCCAAGTATACAGTATCTTCGCTACCCAAGCACTTTGGTTCCAGGTAATCCAAGCACCTTTGTCCTTTCCGGTAGATGCGAGATGCCCTGGTAATTCCATATTCTACGGACTCAAGGACCGCTGTATACAACGGTGAACTGGTCGCATCTACACTCAAAAATTTCACTCTGAATCTTGTAGAGAACCCGTTGGGGAAGTCCTCCTCGTCGGCACACCCCTTCTGAAGAATAGGAGGCTCCACAGTGCCAGGGCGCCAATCCATAGTGCCTTGATGAGTGTCGACCTCAGCATGCAATGTCGAGACCTTTGAGGAACCACTCTGCTAGTTGCAGCCGCATCAGTTTTAGAGCAGGACATCCTCCGCAGGTTTGCTCTTTAGCTCGGCATGATCTTTATCTATCAAAAACCTTCCCTTCATGTCAAACAAACCTTTGCACAAGTGCAGCATAGTGCACCTAACCTTCCGTTTTGGACGCTGGACGGGACGCTTGATTTGCCAGGCGGTATGCCGTTCAACCAGCAATGTGCTGAACAAAAAAACAGGTGCAAACCAGCCTTCAAAATCCCTTGCAAAACTGTAAATGTCATGATGTCTGTTTCAAGCATGGTGCTTTCATTTGCTTGACACCCTGAACCCTGCACGGACAACCCCAGATTCAATTCAAGAGACAGGAACTCCCGCCCAGCTGGTGCCAAGGACAACAAGCCCATCAACAAGGGCCATGGCAGAATGGGTGCCCGATAGCCGCTGCGGCGTGCCACCAGGAAGGCAATGAGGAAGCCAGCGGACAGTCCCCCAGCATGGCACCAAGTGGCACAGCCTGCCCAGTCACAGAAGCCCAGTCAGGAGCTTGTATGAGCATTGGACAATGCAGTGCTGCACAAACAGCACCGCACGTCACAAGCTAAGCCGTATAATTATAATATATATATAATATATCTTCTGCTCTGGAATGGGTTGAGAAGCTTGTGGGTCAGTAATGGATGCGAAGATCTCCGAAGAGGCATTCCACGCCAATCAAGACCGTCAAAAGGAACCAAGCAACAACAAGTAGAAACAGCATAAAATTCCATATTCAAGTGGTCCTGCGGCTGTTGAATTCAACTGCCAAGCTGTAGTTCTTCAGCTGGTTTCCGGAAGAAAGCTTGCCGGCGTGACGGGCAGCAAACACTGCCATGCCTGGCAAGAAAATCCCCATCACCAGCATTCCTGGGGCTGCGAGGCATCGAGCTAGCGTATCCTATCTGTCGGTGCACGAGTTTGGTTTTGTTTGTTCATGTTTCGCCAGGATGTTTAGCCGGATTGTAGGATCTGGGCCAAATCCAATATATGCTGATGTCATGAGAGCAAATTAAATGTACTCTTGGTTTTTCTACGTTTACTTCCGTGTCCAATTGCCGACCCCAGCTGCTACCCACAAGATTTCTTCGGCGAAGTGGCCATATGAGACAGGGACCATTAACCGCCAGTCTTAGGGTGTCAAGCCCTGTTGTGACGGCCAACATGGGCACCCTCCAAGAACTGTTCTCACAGGACTATTCTGTGGGAGAATGCCATTGCCCTTCTAGCACACCTCATCTTTTTATTTATTTTTGTCAACCGTCTTATGAAGTCCTGCGTGATGTGCTTACCGACTCTCAAAGCACACAATTGCATCCAGCTACAGCAGGATTCCCGTGCATTTTGCATCTCAGCATTATGGAGCATCATCTAATTATGCTCATTGATTTGACATGGCACCACTGTCTCACAATCTCACTCTAACATGCTGCCCAGTACCCAGCCAAGCGTCCAAAGGCGGAGCGGAGGAGTAAATTGAATTCGCGGGTGCGCCGACTCCGCAGCAGGGAAACCAACTCAAAACCAATAAGGCCACCTGAGTTGGCACACGGGTGCTACACGGACATGCACACAACGTGGGACTTGCCGGCTGCAAAAGGGTCTAGACATGTCTGAACAGTATTGGAGAAATTTAACAATTGTAGCTGATGGAGGAAACTGTTGCTAACTAATGGAGATGTCTGTGATTGCTGGGCGGCTGGTTCTTGACAAGTCTTGATGTCAAAAATGCAATAATGAAACATATTCTGGGCAATTTTTGGGGTGCGGTTCTTGCATAGTATCCGGCCATCGCGCTGAAATATCGAAACTAGCATGCGAGTTTTGTTGGGTTCACCAGATATCAAGTTGTTGTTCTAGGTTGCCGCTGCCATACCCTCGGTGCAAACTGATTTGCTCAAAAAATACTATGTTCTTCATCCCCAACTGAATCAAGACCAGGATAAATCCAAGCCCAAGCATGCCACAGCCAAGCGATGAATTAAAGCCGAACTGCAAATGCCTCCAGAGGCCCCCAACGCATAGCGCGCCTGCAATTGACATAACCTCCCTTCCCAAACCGGAAGTGTGCTTATCTGGAAGAAGGTAGGAACACAAGCCCTCTTGATCCCAAATCCAGAACAAAAACTGCAACTCCGTAGCTGGAACTAGGGCGATCAACGGTTGCCCTGGATAAAGTTCCTTACTGAGCCTGTTCCCCACTTCCCCGTTGCCTGGCCAAAGTGTAGGAATGCAAGGTTACCTGCCGAAGCACAGAAACAACACTATATCTCTCTATATCTATATCTATATATATAATATTCAGTCGTAGTCCTTGGAAGTGTGACATGCAGCATGCAGCAATGCATATTAAACTCGTACTGATCAACCACTACGACGTCATCTACTATATGACATGCAATTGCAATAGGTTCGCTGCCTCGCCACTAAAATCAAATACCTGTAGCAAGAACTACTCACAACTCAGGTCAAAACTTAAACTGTTGTTTAGTCGATTCCTCCAGTTTGTGTTCCAGGAGATTCCCACAAGTTCGCGGTTCACAAGCATGAGATACCAGCACCCTCATTTTCTCTGCCTGCAATGCCTGAGAGGAGGAAAGTGCTTAGAAAGGCGCCACGGCAGCCAACCTCTAGAGGCGCCAAAGTATACCTCCAAGGGGTTGGGAAGTCTTCCACCGGAACGCCAACCCTTCCAAACGGGTCAAAAGGCATTTAGCCGAATGGCATAGGGCAACCAAGTCCCTACATTCCTACATCAAGCCAGTTCTTTGCTCGGACAGGTTCGGACAGCATATTTGTTCATCCTTTTCCCAGACTTGGGACATTTTTATTTTTTTTGAGAACTGGAGCCACGGTAGTACATGTTTCTTTTTTTAGATTTGTTGCACTGCACTCAACCACAATCATCATAATATCTGAATCTCTGCACTGCACTGCTGTCAAAAACCACAATCAAACAAAAAAACACACACCTATTAACCCAATACTGGTGCCCGTTGAAGTTATATAATACATTTTGCATGTGGGATACCAAACCACCATGGAACGCCGATTTGCAAAAGTCAGTACTTAAGTCAAGACTGCTGGCCTTCCCCATTGTGAACGCTACATACAGAACACGGTTCTCCAGATTAACCTTTCCAAAAAATGAAAACTTCAATTGCAAATCCCAACATCCATTGGGTTGGATTTTTTGGATTGTTGTTTGTGACACAGTCCCCAAATCAAAACCCAATAGTCTTTGCTGCACCAACATCCATTGGGTTGGACTGTTTGGATTATCTGGATTTGGGGACTGGTATTAGGCATTTTGTGCATTGGCATTGTCTACCTATATATACATATTGTATATACTGCTATCCTGTACTACTTTCTGATTTTGGTATTAATGTCAGTGTTGGCTGTTACTTGTTTGTGCTAAGAAGGCTTCAGCATAGCTATTCTCTTCGCATTTGCTGTCTGACTGGCATAAACTAAAAACATCTATCGACCCAATAGCTTTTGCTGCACATACTTCTGTATGTCTTTCTATTGTTTTTGTTGTGCCTTATTGGTTTTGGTAAGAAGGCTTCAGAATGGCTATTCGCTTTGCCTTTGCTGTCTGTGTGACATAGTCACATTAAAAACACAACAATGTCTCAGGATCTGCCCTGCTAAAGAAGGATACAATGATACTCAATGGTTCATTAACTAAAATAAACACACAATAAAACACCGTGTAATTACTGCCGTTTTGGCCTGACATAGAATATGACTACAGGAAACATAGCAACCAATTTGACAGCGCAAGGGTTAACAATGAACAAGTATGTTCAATACGTTCACATGATATTGTGAAGTGGTAGATAAATCTGTGCAATGTAAAATAATTCCTGGGTCGTCGGTTATTTTCATTATTTTCAAAACTAAATTTAGTGACGTCGTCTAAATTACGAAATTATTTTTACGTCGTGTGCCCTAACGCCCCCAGCCAGCCAACACGCTGGCCAGCCAGGGGCGACCAAAGCTGAAGCCACGTGTCCACCTGCGCGCGAGAAGGCTCTGGCTAGTGGAACTGGAGCGATTTCAGTGGGTCTTTTGTGGTTAACACAATTTTTGAAGGTGTAGTTTGTTCTACTACAAAGGGAAAACCTTGTTGGGGATCAGTTTTGTCCCTTCCAATTGTTCATTCCTAGTTTGTTGAACTAGGGCGTTTTTACTTCTTACAAAGGGGGAACATGCTTTGTATCCAAAACCTATTTTTGGGGGTGTAGTTCGCTTGACTACAAGTGAAA